GTGAAATGCAGGACCTCTAGACTGAAAAACTCTTTCTTTCCGACTGCCATCAGACTCCTAAACAGCTGACTCAGGATCTACCTCATGTAATTCCATCTGTTCTGTTTACAAACTCATTTTGCACATGCACAATTGCACACTCACTGCTGAATATTTACACTCCACGGCTCCCAAGTAGCATATATTCTCTCTATATTATTGTGTTGTTGTATTTTTATTTGCTCCCTTCACTTGCTGCTTTAAAGTGCCTTAGATTTAGATTTTACTGTCTATTTAGATTTGTGTTATTGCTCATCTACTTTATATTTCACTTCTATTATGTGACATTCATGTGGACGGCAAAGTAAGAATTTCATTGTACAGGGAAACACGTTTCCTAACTGTGCATATGACAAATAAACACTTTGACCTTGACCTGTGACACACTGCACAACCTCCAGGATTGAACCCTTTCATGCACAGTGGTCTCCATAGTGGACAGCTAGTTAAAAACTGTTTTCTTGTATGTGTAGATGTATATCACCCACTACAGTGAATGCTAGTGTGTCATCCCATACTCTGCCACCCACCAGTCAGCCATTGTTAAGTGCAACAATAATTTTTCAAAACCAAGATGGCCGACCGAAAGCCAGAAAGGCTGAGTAGCTTAGGAATATCTTGCCAATCTTTCTATAGGACATACTGTTGTTAAAGTACTGATTTTATCTTGGAAGGAAATTATGATTAATCATCTATCCACTAAATTGGAAAAATACATGTTCAATAAAAAAAGTTTGTTTTCATACCTTAAGGCTAATAAAAACACTAAGGAAAAAAATCCTGACTGTGGCTTTCATGGTTTTGTTTAGGCTTCTACTGTAGGTTTATATGCATTTTTAGGAAAACACAAGTGCAACTGGCAAAGCAAAATTCCAAATATTTTATTGCAAAGGGAAATGAAAAAACTGTGCAAAGCAATATGATAAGTCAAAAGTGAAGTTAACAGGCATCAGTGTGACCTGTAGCTTATAGCTGAATGTTTCATGATGTATGTGCAGTTTAAGCAAAAAATCATTTACACTTTGGCATGTGAAATGCAGTACAAACATGCAGGCTGATTACTACTTCACAGCACCTTTGTTATACAAAAGCACAGGAGAGGCATAGAAAAGAAATTTATCATAAGAAATTCATCATTTGATTAAAAAATGAGAAACCGATGGTTAATTTACATGATAAGCTCCAGTTAGAACAGTCTTTAATAAGTTGTACACAGAAAGTGAATCAAACAGAAGCTAAAATCACTGTTTTGTCTTTTTCCTCCAGTAAAAACTGAAGTTGATGAATACAACACATAGAGAAGCTTGTACACTGTGGTTAAGATCATTAAAATATGTTACTCTGGAGTTATATCAACCATTGAGGCTTCAAAAGGTGAAATTCCCCAGCATTCAGTCTGTGCTGACTCAGTCTGCCTTCTTCTTGATGCCGAGCAGCTGAGAGAAGCTCTGCACAGCCCAGTACAGCAGAGAGAGGGAGACAAAGGCCTGCACAAAACAGAGAGGCTTTATGTCAGCGTCTCTGATTCAAAGTCATGCCTGTGATACCTTGTGGAGATCAGTCTGGGGGAAGTAATCACCTGTAATTTGTTAAATTAGTTAAACACTGATAGTGATGTGCAATGAACTGTGCTCAAACTTCAACTTGTACTAGGAAGATACTGGTTTATGAGTGTGTTAATCAGCTGGCTGTCTGAAAGTAGAGCTGATAAATGTGTTGATATATTGGTTCACCAGTGTTTTGGGAAGATATGTTTAATTTCACTTCAAATATCTAGCTACAATTAAAGATTGATTTCATGATCAATTAATCTGTCTGTTATTTTCTCAATGTAATAATGGTTTGGTTTTTCAAAATGTTAGAAAATAAAATAAATAAAATGTTCAATACAAATTCTAATACATATTTAAATAAACAGACATATATTAATACTTTGTTGTGTTACCATCAGGAGAAAAGCTGGAACACACAATAAGATTTTTGTTTTTGCTAAAATATTAAAATTATTGCTGAATAATTTTCTGTCAAGTGTTTAAGCAGTGAATATGTGTAAGTGCTACTGACGGAGAGTAGCACCTTGCCACACCTTCACAGCAGAACCCTTTGAAACTGGACGCTAACTACCACAGTTTATTTATGCATGTACATATATACTTTTTGTAAATAAATAAAATGTTTTCTTTGAAGATACCTCTAAATTGCATTGACCTGAAGTACTTCATGTTTATATTCTTATTTCTTACATGATGGCATAAATACTTTAGTGGGGATGTAACATGCAAAAAACAACCATGACAAGAGAAGAAAAGGTACAAACAGCGTGACGTTATCATCTACAACCAGGGAAGAAAAACACTGGAAGTGAAACTGTCACTGAAACACAGTGAGACCCTTCAGATGCAGTCGGTCTCAGGGTTTAAGGAGCAAGACTTCTCCCCTGATGCTCTCATGATAGGGTCAAACAGGTCACCGTCATGGGGGATCTCTCTGTTTGGAGAAGTAGGTCGGGATGGGGCTCTGCCCGAAAAAGCCCTGGCCCCCACCCCTTGCTGTGTTATGGTCCACTAACTGCATCCTAAATGGCAACTCAAGCCAAAAGCAGACTGCTGTCCATCACAGGCAAAAAGGCCTGATGGGGAAAAAGTTATGCTTCCTCCTGGACATGCCAGCTGTTTTCCTCTGAGAAAGAGAGACAGAAAGACCACCACATACGTCCTCTCTGATTTTGTACCACTCCTACCTACCCTGAAAACAGCCCCCCCTCCGAGAGAGAATAAAAG